CCACCATCGTCCCTCGACCGTGTTCAAGCATGGGTGTCGAGAAACCGCGCCTGGACGGCAGCCATCGTCGCATTCGTCGGAACTGGTGCCCTCCTGATCTATGGAAGCAAAAAGCTTAGCATCAAGAAAAGAAAAGCCCGAAGTGCCAGTAATGGTGCTCGCAAGGAGATCGTTGGTGGGTACAGACTTCGAGAAGCTTAGAATGTGAAATATTTTTTAAGTTGGCCAGCGCTGACATATTCAAATAGTTATCGCCGGGTCCCCGAATGAGCCTATGACCAAGTCTGTCGCGAATGATCTCGAGCGCCGTGGCTTTATCATCTTTGTTACCGTCACTTCGTTAGAAGAGGAAAATCTCGTGAAAGCAGAGGGTCGGGAAGATATCCGGTCTTTATGGATTGATCTAGCAGCTGTATAGAGGAAACCTCATGTTGTATAATGTCGTTGGATAACAGGCTAACCAAACATAGGCGCCGTTGACTTCGTCGGGGATCCATCCGTCTCTGCATATTATTCAGTCCTTAATCACTCAACCTCAGTCTCCTGTGGCTGGAATACCACCACATGTTTGCCAGCTAAGCGGTTTGATCATCATACCGTCTTCGAAATTCCCCACGGGACCTGTTTCAACCATTCCAGCAGCGAACTGGGTTGACACTATAAATACTCGTCTTTTATACCCCATACTAACAACACAGCTCCTCCTACCACTTCTTACTTTGAAAAGTAATAGCAGCTCAATAGTCCTGCTTTCACCTTCAATACAGTCCTCACTATCTGCGCCATTTGCAAGCCCGGAAGTCACAGTAACTCGGGGATTATCTGGCTTTGCAACCAGCCTGCGACAAGAGCTCCGACTTCTGCAGCGTGCTAACAACAGCTCTAACAATGGCGTTGAAGTGATCGAGTTAAAACTTGGAAATATCGATTTGGGCCGCCGGTTCCGGAATGGCCACAATCAAAATACAGGAACAGAGGTCCTTACCTGGCAGCCGCGGCAAAGGGCCGCGTACGGTTCATCGTACTTGTCCAGCATCGATAGCAAAGCTGGAAAATTAGCCGGTGCAGTTTATGGTTCTCCGGCCAGAGAACTACATTTTGCGATCTTTGACGCCCTTGCCCCCGTCCCCAAGTCGTGGTTTGGCAGGCGCAGACGAAAGAAGGCCACTGTTTACGTTGGCAAAGGGTCCAGAACTTACTCCATTGTCGGGAATATTGTTCCTGGTGGGTTGGTAGGGTGGATGCTGGGACTGCGTTCGGCGAGCAACGGCTCACCAGTTGACTCGAATTGGGATTCTCATAGCAGTGGGACGAACAGCGAAACGGGCTGGGAGAAACTTGGATAAAAGGAGGCTATTTTGCTCCCATCCAAATCTATTATTATTATCAACTATATACCTCTTATCTAAATATGCAGTTATTCTCTTCCATGATTTAGTTATTTTAAGGATTATTATGTACATGTTTTATAGACGGCGTTTCTACGAGCCATTGCGCGGGTTGGCCGGTAAAAATTTTCATTTTTGATGCCGGTGGTTTCTCAAATTGCTTTATTAACAATTCATTTAATAATCTCCTCTGTTTAATGAAAAGTGCAAGATCTATTCTAAACTTTTTCATATTCCTCAATAAACTTCATTTATATAATGAGGTCTTAAGAAAATACAGAGCCTGATATTATTCAAAACTTTACACTAGTTATGAAGTACAAATCATAAAATATATGATATTTAAAAAAATATATATACAATAAATAATGCTTAATTTTCATTCTTTTATAATAATTATATGATGTTAATAAAAATTTTTGAAATGAGATATTTATTATTTTTAAAGAAAAAAAATTTAATAATTAATATAAATAAAAATTTTAATAATATTAAAATATTTAATATATTAAAGATATAATTATATAAAATATTATGTATATTATTTTTTATAAATAAATATAAAAATATATATTATATAAAATATTTAATATAAATATTATAAATTTATTTCTATTAAAAATTTTTTTATTTATTTAATAAATAATTTTAATAAATAATAATTTACTTTTTTAAAATTATAAATATATAAAATAAAATTATTTAATTATTTAAAAAATTTATTAAATTTAATATATTATATTATAATAAAAATAATAATTTATCTTCTTATATAAATTATTTTTTTATATTTATTTAAATTTATATATTATTTAATATATTTATAAAATTAAAAGTATATAAAATATAATAAATTAAAAATTTATTATAAAAATTTTAAAATTATATAAAAATAATTTTAATTAATTAAAATATAATAAAAAATATATTATTATAAATAAAAATATTTTATAATTTTTATAAAATTATATCAATAATTTAAATAATATTTTAATTTAAAATATGATAAATTAATATTTTTATAATTAAAAAATTAAAAATAAATAATAATTATTAAAAAAATTAACTTAATTAAATATTATTTTTAATATATGAAAAACTATAAATTTAAATATTTTCTAATATAAAAAATTATTAATTAATTAAATAATTAACAGATATAGATTATTAATTATAAATAATAATAATTTTAAATTTATATAATATTATATAAAAAAATTTATTATATCTTTTTATATAATATATTAATCATCTTATTTATTATAATTAATCATTAAATATGAATTATTTTAAACTTTTTTTTAAAAAAAATATATAAATAAAAAATTGAAAATTATATAAAATTTAAAAATTAATTATATTAATAAAAAAATTTCTATAACTTTATTTTAAAAAAAAATAATAAATTTACTATTAATAATATATTTTAAAATATAAATCTAATACTATATAATTTGAATAAAATTTATATAAATTTATATATTTAATTTTATACTTCTATCTCTCTATGAAGTTCTCATAAATTTAAATCATTTTATATTTTTTAAATATCTATAAATATAAAGAGATTAGAATGTCAAAGCAGCAAGATTAAATAATGTATAAGACAGTTATTCAATTTTACAAATCAAGTCTTTAATCAGTTGATTAAAAGATGCTAACTAACTGGCCATACATAGTGCTACTATCTTAGCAAAAGAAAAACAAGAAGCTGAGAGCTGCAGTTGAGAAGAAAAGTACAAGAAAAAGCAAGTTCATATGTTTATAACTCAGAATGAAGCTCTATCAGTTGAGGAAGAAATAACTAGAGATTAAGCAATTGATCAAATTGTACAAGAGAGAGTAGAGATTTGAACCAGTCATCTATAAAGTGAGCTCTGTTGCATTGCAGCAAGTGTAATATAGTTGATCATATTGCTAGAATTTGTCAATAAATCTAAGAAATAAATAGATATGTCTAATATGAAAAATTTCAGTTGATGATTGCTTAATTTCTCAAATTTATCAAGTTTAATTAAAGAAAGATCACAAGAAAATGATCTGCATGAAAAGGTCATGAGATCTTGTCAAAATACTCTTATGACATCATTATTTTTTTTATACTTTATGAGTGATTTCTCTGCACTATCACTATTTTTTTATAATTTATGATATCATAGTAGTGATTTTTTCTCTTCTTTTTTTTTAATATAAGATGATTACAGAGATTTTATCTGCAGAAGATTATGAGAATTATATTGCTAATGACATTTAAAAAATATTTTTATTTCTTCTAATCAGATAAAGCAACACCTTATAGTATTTTATATAAAATAATAATTTGATAAAAACCTTATATAAATAATTATCTGATTTATCATTTAGAGAATCAGTGATTTATTCTTAATGTATTTGAGTTAGTGAAAATGAATATAATTCTCTATACAATAGTTTGTACTTTTAATTCCTAGTTATTTTTTCTTTTTGTAGACATATAATCATCTGCTTTTTTAACTAGTCAAATTTACTTTTTTAATTTTTTATATAATCAACTTTATGTGATAATGTTATAAACTTTATGTTTCAATATTATTTTATTATATATTTTAAAATCCAAATTAAAATTATATATATATTGATAACTATTAGCAGTTAATTTAATATAAAAGTTTTTAAATTGATTATAAATTAATATTTGCCTAATTTAAAATAATAAACATATAATAAAAAAGTAAAAGATTTTATTAAAAGATATTATATAATTTTAATAAAGTTAAGTTTTCATAAGTATTATTCTGTTAATTTTAATGTTTATAAGATCTAAAAGGGTTGAAAGATACTTTTACACAGTTAGAGAATAGAGAATGAGTTAACTACTTAAGTTATATAATAGAATAAAGTTTCCTCCACTAAATTAAACCTTAAGATGTGAGAATTCGTTAGCAAGACAAAGTAATTTATAAAGGACAACAACGTTGGTTGGAGGGTGTGAGAACTAATTGTTGGGACTTGGCGTACTAGCTGGCCTGTTGCCACGGGCGTCCGCCACGCACGTGATTCCGCGTAGAGATCAGCTGCCCTCCCAATACAAGAGATTTCAAATAACCACTTTAACTCCGTAGCCGAAATCTAAACTCTGTGTGTGTGTGTGTGTGTGTGTGTGTGGACACGTGATTAGGGCAGCCGGCAGTATCCACTCGCCCCACTCCTACCAACTCCTACCAACCACGCTACGGCGCTCACTCAGCTCTCCCACCGCGCCTTGCTGGCTCAGCTCAAATCCTTCGAGTCTGCAAGAAAAATTAATTACAACAATCAGACACCGATTTCCCGAACAGGGACGGGCAGAGCATAACTGGAAAATCCAAAGCAAAAACCACACCGCTATTTGTTTATTCTTGTATTCCTCTTACACGCACTCCGGGTCACAAGATCAGACTGCCTTCATCAGCGAAATCAACGGACGCAGGCTTTGCTACGGACTTCATGAATCCGTTTGATTGATTGGCATCCTCCCAAGTAGGCACATCCTTCCCATCGTATAGTATAGTGTAGTGGCCGCCACCCCCAAGATCAACGAAGAATCTCATCTCTGGCTTCATGGTGCAAAATGGTGGACGTGTCATTTGAAAGTCATTCAATGGGATTCTCGCCCCCTCCCGTGGGTATATCAACCTTTCCTGCAGCCGTAGTGGGGCCCGTAGTTTTGTCTGCCATTTCCAAGATGTCAGATGACATCAACTCTCTGTGGCTTAATCTCGATGATCTCTCTGTGAGGTCTTTGTGAGGTGTGGCATGAGCTCCCGAACCAGAGTCTAGGACCCGGGTTATCTCCACCAGTCTGGCCGCTGGAATAGACTTTCTCTCCGCTCTGCAGAATAACTGCTCGACAATGATATGAACCAGGGGCTGAGCCCGTCTCCTCTCTGTCCTTTTCTTTAGCATCACCCTTCAAGGCAGGACATTTTTACAGAAATTTTTGACCAACATTCAGATTGGATGTGGCCGGTCTTCCGGCAGTGGTAGCATGTTTTGATTGCATTGCCGCCTCTTCTTTCGGGCTTGAAGTCTTTATTCTTGTCCTTTTTATCCTTTTTTTGCTGATTCGAGATCTTGAGTTTTCTCATCCTTCTCAATTTGATCCATTATGGGATTCCTACAAAGGAAGCTCCCTCCTTGCTAAAGAAGTCTGTTAAAACACATGAAATCCTCCACTTGATATTCTAGATGAATGTATTCAGGCCTGATGGCAATTAAACACTTGATAAATGCCTGAGTCGGATTCCTTTGATTTCACAATCATTTCAATCTTCTTCTCAAATAGCCAAGTTTTCTGGACTGCAGGCATCCCAGTGAAGCCATTCTGTATACCAGATCATAGAGCATAAGCAAAGAGTACGCCCGATTGGTAGTTCCTTTCGTTCACCAGACATTTGTTGGCTAATACCCCCCTTGGATGGATGGGAGGATCACCGAACGGACGGACGAACGCGATATCCGTCATCAACGTTCCCTCACTAATCTCGCACGATTGGATCAAACACATTCATTTACCAGATGTACGGTCGGACTATCCTTCTTCCGCCCTGATCCACATACTATAAATTCATTCTTGAATTCACACTCACGAATTCTTCCTTCTTTTCCTGCCCCAACGAATTCGTCCTTTGTATATGGGGAGTGCTAGTACATATTCTGTAGCACGCCAATTACAGTATGAATTCGTTCAATAATCGTCCTTGAATAAGGCCTGAGTGCCTAAGAGAGAGAGAGAGAAATACAAGAAGGTCGGACGCGAGCATCCGTGAGAATTGATATATAAAAATATATTACGAACCTCCCTTTGAGCATATGCCAGTGGGCTTCCACTGATACCAGTGCTGATCTTCGAAGACTGGTGCAGCAGCAAGCTATGCGGATGGCTGAGCTGCAGCGCCAGCTGCATGAATTGAATCGTTCAGCATTCAGCACGTCACGCGATGAGCTGGTGAAGGAATGATTCCCCGTCCTTATCTAGTATAAGAGCAATGTCTCTCTATACCTCGCCTGGAAATCAAAAGCAGTTGTCCAAACTCAGTGTTGATGGTCCTGTGATTGATTCCCTGTCAAACCAAGTGTGATATATCCCATAGTCGACTAGATGGGGACGCTCTTGTGAAGTTCCAACTATGGATGGATTCCCACCTTGAGGAGCAGCATACACCTGAAAATGTGTTTCGTCAATTTGACGCGCTCTTCCTAGATCCTACGCATCAAGCCAAACACCATCTTGGCGAACTACCTTCCGGAGTTTGATCGTAAACTTTTTGGAAGCTGGAGGTCAAAACTGGGGCGACGCTGTCAAGATCAATATGCTGAGCAAGAACCTGAGTTTCGAATTGCTCAATCAAAGCGTAGGATGTCGGTCATCAAATGAACAGTGATCTCTCATAGTTCCGTGCAGCTCAGGGTCGCTGAAATGTTTCATTCACTCCATCACACTTGTCACCACGCCTACCCCGAGCTGGAGCCCGAGCCAATGGACTGGAATCCTCCATGTCAGTGCAGGCCGCCCGAGAGTTCCGAACATCCCCGGGAGGGATATGGTCGACCGAATTGCGTGAGGTGTCTGCATACGATGTTGCCACCCGGGCATTTCGCCCACAGCCAGCGCTCGCAACCATGAGTCATATAAACCAAGCACATAGTCACCGAACAATTCTCTGAATTGGATTTAGGAAGGGGGGGTTCTGGTTTTGGGGGTTGGGGTGGAATGATGTAACAGACTAATGCCTGAAATTAGTAATTCCTTTCACGAACATTCACTCACTAATCTAGCATAATCGGATCAAACACAGATCAAACTTGGATCAAACATTCATTTATCAGTTGAATGATCAGACCATCCTTCTGCTGCCTTTGGTCCACACTCTACAATTCACTTGCAAATTCACTTTCTTGAATTCTCCCCTCTCTTCCTTCTTTCCGTAACGAATTCGTCCTTTGTATATAGGAAGTGCTAGGGCTGTATTTAGTAGCAACACTTATAACAGAAATTTAAAATATTGTAAAATGAGATTTAACCTACAAAGTGAATTGCTGATTATATATAGTTGTAAAGTTAAATATTTCTTTTTCATTTAAATTATTACTTATTTATATTATCATTATATTGATAGTTTTATTAAAAGATTTATTTTTATTTAATATAATAAAGCTGTTAGTTTCAAATTATTTTAAAAGAAATATTTTCTTATATTAAATAATTTATAAAGTTAATTAATAAAAAAAATTTTTAATCATATTTATTCAACTTCTGAAATTAATAAAAATTTTTATTATTATAAATATTTAAAAAATATTTAAATATATTTATATAATATAATAATAGTTATAATATTTATTAATAAAAAATATAATTTTTAAATATATATTAATAAATTAAAAAAATAAATAAAATAATTATATAACTTTATTAATATATATAATATATATATATATATATATATATATATTAAAAAATTAAAATTATAAAATATTAATATAAATAGTAAAATTTTTTATAATAAATTATTTATTATTTTAAAATATTTAAAATATTTTATAAAAATTAATATTTAAGTTAAAAATATAATTTATTTAAATAAAAATAAAAAATATTTATTATTATAATATAATTAAAATTAAAATATAATTATTATATATTTTATTTAAAAATTTAAGTATATTTTAATAAAATATTATTAAAATAAAGATAAAAAATTAAACTTTTAAAATAAATTATATTAAAATAAAAAAAGTTTTAATAAACATTGTAAATTATATCAAAGTAATTATTAAAGTTTAATTATTAAAAAAATTAAAATTAATAAATTTTTTATTATATTTTTATATTATATTTTTTAAATTTTTTATTTAATATCACTTATTATTTATTTAATTTATTTTTAATTAAAATTATATATGATAAATTAAATATAACAATAATAATTAAATTTTATTAAAAAGTGAAACTTTTTAAATATTTGTTTTATAGCACAAATTGTTTAAATCTTAAAAATTCAAAACCGGTTTTTTATTTATTGGAATAATTTTATTTAAATCTAATCAGATTATTTAAAAGTCAACTAGTTAAATATTAAATGGCGAATATCACGTTCGTTCCTTCGATGGGATTCTCCATCCGGAAAGTAAGGCTAGCTACGGCACGGAGCATATACAGGCTAACTAGATCACGGGCGGCTGGCCAACCGGTCAAGACCGACCAGTAATATTTTAAAAACCGTTTAGTCTTTGATCACATTTATAGGTTTCATCACAAGACATCGACTGCGGGTATGCTTGAACATACAAGAATACTTTATACTTTAACCCTAGGATAACTTGATTTGACGTTGTTGAGTGTAGATATTTCAGCTAAAATATAGTTAGTTGAGCTTCGGCAATTTCGACGATCCATTTGGTGGTGGTGGTGGTGGTGGTGGTGGTGATGATACGCTGAGTAAGGAGACGCTCCTTTGCACCTAACCAAATCAGGCAACATTATTTCCTATCATAGTTTAGTACATGAAAAGATTTGCAGCTTGTGGCGTCGCCCTGTCCATTGGGGTTGGTTGCCACAACCAGTATAAACCGCCACTAAGAATGATCAGGACCAGGAACCAAGACAAATAATCCATCCACCCACGAAGTAGACATTCCTTTTACTTCGCCTCATCAAGACGGGTTTCGGCCGCTCCCATCTCGGGAGCATCCACATTATTCCCCTCATGCACGGCAGCCCAAGCCTCAGTGTCCGCTTTCGACCACTTTGTCCGGTTTGAGCTCAAGAACCGCATCCTCAGATAACTTAGCACCCATACAAAACCATAGAGGAGAACCATGATGCCTGCGACTCCGAAGATGTATCCTGTCACACGGCCGCTGCCTCCGCCAGTGGAATCTGGGTTGAGGAATGGATATACGAAAAAGCCCTGTGACGCACGGGTGAGGTATGCGACCCCTAAGTAGAGGACGAGGAGGAGGATTAGGAAGGCGAGATGGAGCAGGGGCGGTGGAGGCGCAGTTGAGCAGATGATTTCGAAGAGGGAGAAGCAGGGCGTTAGGATGTGTTGGGTCACCTGTGATGGGGGCATATTTCGTTAAGATTTTATGCGAGGTTTACCGTGCCGAACTGGAATGAAAGAAAGAAAGAAAAGGAGAGGAAAATCAAAGGGGGGAAAAGAAGATGTACGAACGTTTGCCCACGCCTGGAATGTTAGAGGGAACCAACGTCCCTCGTACAGAAAAGCCCAAAATACCACCATGACAAGGAACGGGTAAACGACGACGGTGGTATAAAACAAGCTATGCAATGCGCGCAGCCATCGTGGCCATTTGTCGAAGAGCACCGACCGCCCCTTCCATCCATACAGGTATGCATGAACAGCCCCGACTAAGAAGTACACCGCGACACCCACAAAGGACATATTGGTGAAGTAGCTGAAGGACCGCACATTGAGGCGGTTGAGGCCATGGGTGCCTTGCCAGCCGTAGACGACGAGGATGGTTACAAAACAATAGACGTAGATTAGAGCGCGGCAAACGGCCAGGACAATCGGGGAGAATAACCAGGACGTCTCGAAGTGGTGGAATTTGTCATGGGCCGGATCTACGCCCATAAGAGAGCTCATGGAACGCATGCTGGACGGGTGTTCTATCTATAATTCTATGGGTGGGTTTGTTCGCGGGGTATGGACTGATAGACGGTAGAGAAGGGAGACTTGCCGAACTCGAGAAGCCTACGGCTTTTATAGACATGCCTTATATAGGTAGACATGAGGAAACTGGATTCATGGTAAGGTCGAGAAAGTCTATTAAACGACGGGTTTATATGAGCGCTGTGATGTTCACAAGAGCGTCGGTGTATACAACCTTAAGGAGTGAATCCATGGATATCTAGTCCCTAACTTGCGGTAGTGGGGGTGGTTCTATACCCGCGCAAAACAGTCCCCCCAAAAATTCTCCGGAGAACAGAATGCGGGGAAATGTTTCATTTCTAATAAGGTTGAAAGGGCGGAATACCGGAGAGCTATTTTCAAAGATAGCACCCGGAAGCCGGAAAAAAGTGAACACGACAGACACACCGTTAATGTGGTTATCCCAGAACCAGAAACCTTATAGCGCCCAGTACCGACGAACTATGCTGTTAACCATTCCAACCATTCATTATATGAAGGGCAAGAATGGATTCAAGATCACATACAACACATTTGATCCTTCAATCAAGCAGCTTTGCCGGAGCTGAGACAGAGAAGAAGTTTTGATAGATTTATATCATCATGCCCAGGCACCGCTCTCTCTGCCCAAGAAACATCACTGGCAAATTCATAACCAGCACTCTTTCGCCACTTCAGCGAACTCCCTAAATGTCATCGGAGCTTTCCCAGTCACCCTTTCTACAACATCATTCACCTCTTCCAGCTCCCTACTCCGAATGGGTATCTCGAGGCCCGCCAGCATCTTCGCATAATTCTCTGATACACCTGTGGCCCTCATCAGCCAGGTTACATAGTCGGCTTCGGATAAGTTGACATGAGTGATCTTCCTGCCGAGAACAGAGGACAGAATATCTGCTATGTCCCCATACGACAGCAGCTCAGGTCCCAAAATGAGATGATCCGTGTTGTGCGGGCGTTTATCTGTCAAGGCATGGAAAGCCACACGGGCAATGTCCTCTGTGGATACGAACGGGATCTTTCCCTCGCCCGTTGATGAATATATTTTGTCTTCCCCTTTGATGAAGGGGAGGAATTGGGCTTCGGATACATTCTCTACGTCGAATGCAGGTCAGTAAAATCAAAAACTTTCCAATCACCGTAGATTATCTCATGGGGTGGGAGGCAAAAGAGAACATACGCATAAACCAGGTTGGCCGCAAAACTGTCCACTCAATCTCCTCCCCCAACCCAGCCAAATATTCATGCACTTTTCCCATCAGCGGCCCACCCTTCTCGAACGTGCTGGCACTCAGCAGCACAAACCTCCTCACCCCCTTCTCCCTCGCAAAGTCAATAAGTCTTTTCGCCAACGGGAATAAATCTACGACGGACGGTGAGACAATGTACACCGCGGAAATAGGGCCCAACGAAAAAGCTGATGGTGTCGAGGCCATTTCAAACGGCTGTCCCCAGGTAGATTCATCGTGCCAGTCAAATATTGCCTGTTTGTGGGGGGAGAGTGGGGAAGTGGTTCGTGATGCGACGATGAAGGGGATCTCCGGGGCTTTGGTTGAGAGAATCGAGGCGAGCCGGCTGGAGGTTTTGCCCCGTCCGCCAAGGATGAGGATGGTCATTTTCCCCACCCTCAATTGTATGGTAACTATGTATGAACTGTGAAACCTTGGGGGATCAGGATATCATGAGATAGAGAGGGGTTAATGGGGGGAAGTAATCGAGCGCTTTGGTGGTCTATATATACCCCAGCTTGTCATCGTTAATGCCAATCCCAACCCGTTTTAGTTTCCTCTTTTAGGGCGCTCAGAGGATGTGGCATTGTGGAAAAGAAAGGTTATCCGATAGTTATAACTAGTTAGAGAGTTACAGAGGCTTATTGACTTTTAGAGCGGTCGCTTTTAAGCAAACCTAGGGGTCCATTTTTGATAGCTAGATAGGCCCTATTAGACCACTCACCCAGGACAAGTTATTGATAAATTCATCATGCCGAACACCCTTTTTCTCTCTAATAATTCTCCCAAGGTTACTAGTAGTTTAGAAAGGTAACCAAAAAAAAAAAAAAAAAAAAAAAAAAAAAAGATCATGTTTCCCTTCCCCGAGTATTGGTAATCTCATAAGTCCGCAGCATAAATCCGAAGATGAAAACACACTCAACGGTTAAGATGGTGGATTTCAAAATCCATGGAGTTAAAGCGGTGGAACAATCCCTCCGGAACCCCTGGCAAACAGCGACGTCAGCGGACATATTTTTGACTGTAGCTGTTTTAAGAGGGCAAAAGAAGGCCAAATTCGGGACAGAGCGAGGATGATTGAGCTGGGAAACAGGAGAACCATTTGCAATAGCCCCATTTTCGATATACTCCTAGTCGAAGGGCGGGAGGAGCCTATAATCTATAAGTATTCAATGGATACTCACCAGAGGGGATGCGTTTTTCCCTCGCAAAGGCCACAGAGCTGCTTGAGTCTTCGCATCAGAAACTCTTGAGGCCATTTCGACATCCATCCGTACAAATGGCGCACTATCAAACCATGGACTATCTCCTTGACAGGACCAATATCCACGATGTCGTCACAAAGCTGGTGAGTGAAGTAACCCACGAGCAAACAAGAAAGAGGAGAAGGGAAAGGAAAGATCATTTCAGACACACCGACCACATATTAGAAGTAAAAAAGAGACCAGAAAATAACACACCAAAACAACGACAACAGAGTTTCTATCTAGATACCTATCAATGGGACAAGCTTATTGACGAAGTATTCATCCCCAACGACCTCATCATCGACTATACGCCATCACTTGCCAACGAGGCCATCGTGACGACAGCGACCCGGACGGTGGGACAGTGGAAAGGGCTTATGGACGGGATGGACACGGCACAGCATATTCCGAGGTGCGTATGATACAAAAATTACCAGATGAGGGAGAGAGCCCGGAGAATAATGGAGTGGTGGTGGCGGTGGTTGTGGTGGTGGCGGTTTCGAGCAGAAGGAGACTTTTTTTTTCTCGGTTCGGCCAACTGGATAACATAATAATAATAATAATATGGGCTGACTGCCAACTGCCGACTGCCCACACAGTGCTCTGCTCATCAGCCTGCCCCAACCGGGGCCCGAGACGGACGTGCCTCAAACGGCTTCTGTCACCTGCAACGTGACTGTGACTCTGGTTAGGAAGGACGCGGAGGGAGGCCCGCAGCTTTCGAACGGGGTGAGGGCCTTGATCGCTTCCCATGACTATCTATCATCCCTCCTGTCCTTTATTCGCGCCGTGACGGTTTTTCCCCTTTACTTGTATTTGTATTTCTCATTTTTATTTTTATATTTCCCCCTGTTTGGTGATGGGACCCTGCGCGACATTGACGCTGACATGAAGCCTCCCGGTCGCCGTTATCAGGGCCGCTATGACATCGACTTAAAACGGGTGTCGGAAGGAGGGAGCTCTGGAAATCCATGGCGGATCACAAGGCTGAAGGCGAAGATCTCGTGGTTTTCGGGGAATAAGAAATTGCTGGGGCTTGAAGATTAGGTAAAGAAGGGTGTGTGTGTGTGTGTGTGTGTGTGTGTGTATGTGTGTGCGGATTGGACAGTGAACCTATTAATAGTGAAGAGAAAAATAGAGCCGCGAAAAGAGAGAGGATGTTCTCTCTTCCTCTCTGTTCCCCCATCCACAACTCCCTTGAAAATAATACAGACCCTGTGGGAGAGCGGCGTTTGGCTTAGGGTAGTTTACATGAAGGCAGGCAGGCAATATTTCCCTTGTTCGTGAAGTAGGTAGCTAACTCGTGGGCACAGCCCCGACTCTTTTAAATAAAAAGACAGATGATGCCTGCGAGAGCCGTTCTCTCTCAGGCAAACAGTTTATTCTAATTTAATTTACGTTTTTACCCCGCCCTCGTCTGTTGTTGCTGTTTGTTGTTCTTGTTATTTGTACGTATAACTATCCCAAGTATAACGCGTATCGACAATTGAGCGCGCTTCGAAAGTAAACACAATAGCACCGAGCGAGGGATGAGAGAGGCGGCTGCAGACGTGACTCAACTTTGTACTGCACGGTTCCCTGGGCATATGCATGCATCCAGAACTGGGTTCCCAGGAACAGACCAGTTCTCTCAGGATTGTGCCGTTGAGTGCAGCTTGTACAGTAGATGATGATTTCAAGACTTGAAGATCCCCCTGCCGTCTTCTCAGACAACCAATTATATTCAATAGCAAGATAATCTGTAATTCGTCTCATTTAACTATTAACCTGGTTTGCGTCAACGATCCTGCCTAGCGGGCCCTTGCATGATCATAAAACCAACTTGCGGAATGTGCCTGGAGAGATCAAGGATTCGACATCATCTGGGCTCAGCTGCGATGCGCACTGCGGAAATATCAATATCTTCATGAAATCTCGGACACTGCACAATAGTTATATATATACTCTGGCATCCCGAATTATTCCCGTGTCCAGCAGCTGGGGTTCAATATGGCGGACCGCTCTTGGCCGCTCTTGGACCGCAAAAAACTAGAGCACGGTTGGTGGGGCAGTTTGGTGGCGCAGACGAAAGAAGATGCTCACCCTCGGCCGGCGTGAGATTTCAGAAACATGGATCTCTTCTTCTTGCCGTTTGGCGCAGGGCTCTGCCGTCCCTCAGGGCAGTCTGGTGATTACAGTTGGAAGAAGTTGTTTCCACAGTCCAAGTCTTGATCAGATCAGTGAACCAAGGTATGTCTGATTTAATCCTTGGATTTTATAGAACCACGGAACGGAAACAGGAACAGGAACGCTTCTTCTTCTTCTTAAGTTTTTGTGTTTAATATTTCGGGCAAGTAGAAAAACATCCCGCCTCTTTCTGTCGCGTTTAACTTATCACAGCACACACGCCCAGTCCTAATCCCCGGAGCGGAATCGAGTAAGCAGATCTTTAATTGGATAACAAGTAAAGTCGACCTGTTTCTTCGTCCGGAGCCAGGGCACCGTGGTATATAAATAGGACACAACCCACTCTCGTGAGTTGTAAATCAGGAACAAAATAATGGAAGGCCAGGAAAATGTTGCCAACAAATCACTAAGCAAAGCAAGCCAAAAACTGCCGTAGAGTAGGCAATGGACAGCTAGTCAATATATGACATCAATCATAAAAATCAACAACCCTCTAGGTCTCTGTTAGGTTTGGGCTTGTTTAATTAAATCCCTATCAATCAAGACTCGGCGTTGGGTGGTTTGCCCCCTTCAGCGTTCGCCTTCTTCATCAAAATCTCACGTCTCCCGCTTTTTCCTTCTCCCCGGCTTCATCCAACTTCCTCCAACGTCAGTCACATTTTTACGTCTCCGACTGTCACTTCGATCTCTCCCCCAGACCACTGCTCGTTGTGCTGCCAATCTCCGGCTTGTTAACTTGAGATTTACTTGCCTTTGTCCATCCTTTCTTAAATTTTCGGGTCTTGAGTCGCCGTTCTGCTCTCTCTCTCTCTCTCTCGCTCTCTCTCTCGCTCTCTCTCTCGCTCTCGCTCTCTCTCTCTCTCTCACACACACTTTCGATCCCTTCATAAACGCCAACCAACAGCTCAACAAACAGCCCAACTTACACAATATTTCGCCCCGCGCATCGGAGACACCATAGCTTTTCTGTATATATACGCTCAGTTTGGCCACCACTTTTGTTTTCTGGATGACGGTGTCATCCTAAATGACCCCAATGTGGTTGAACCGAAGCCCGTCTGCATGATCTAAATAAAGAAGCCGAATTTGCCCTTCCCCCTTGTATTACAGTAACCCAGCGCTTATATTCCCACTATCACAAAAAGTTTCAGTCCTTCAATCTCTCGCCCAGAAGGGGGGGGGCGGGGGGAACACCTTTCATTCTCTACGGTTACCCGGATTCAATTCTTCGTGACATACGTTCGTTAACCCACCATGACCAGCAATGGCGTAGCCGACTCCAACCCGACAACATCCCCGCGCATTTCCTATTTCGACGGAGAAATCCCTCCTATCCTGTCACCCCTCGATGCATTTGCCTTACAAGGACGACTGTTAGCCAAACAGCTCGATGATTCGAATAAAGGAGACAAGCGAATGAGTCGCTTACCACCCGCAAGCGTTGCCAGTTCCCTATCCCAGCCAAGACCTGGCTATTTCAGGATACCCTCCGCTGGTGAGTCGACTAACACGGTGCCTGTCAGTCCTGGGGCATGGAGACATGGTCCCAATGGAGAAGTGGAAGAGGCTTCCTTCAGGCCAAAGTCTCAGCATCCCCTGCTAGGGAGGATATCAGCGCAGGCTCCTGCTTCCAATCCAGCAGATAGTGATGGCAACCACAAACCCTCAGAAGACGCTCCAGTTGTTCCAGCAATGCCGCTCAGTGTGTTTGGGGTGCCTCGAGCAGAATCGCCGGATGAGGCATCGTTGTTTCATTTAGATGCAGAAGATGAATCACGGAATCAAAGAAAACCCTCAAATACAGCTGTTGGTGTTTCAGCAGCAACCCATGGGGAGCCAAACGGCAGCCCCCAATTGAAACGGAATGCCTCGAACACCCTCGCACCTCCCACTTCCTCCTCTTTGCAGAATTCAGGAAGCCCTAGGTTGCCTCAACACGAGAGTTCCGATGACGATTATTTCACGAGTTCAACCATGGGATCAACCTTCTCCTCGAAGCCCAGGAAACTCTCCTCAAGCAGTGCCATGTCAACGCCTCATTCGCCAATGTCTCATTTTACTCGACCCGGTCCCCGATCACCTTCTCCAGGTTCAGAAAATTCCACCACGCCCAATCCACTGCCACGTCCATCCTTCAACTTCTCACGCCCCTTGAGCAGATCCAGTACGAGTATTTCTATACCTTCCCCTTCCCTCCATTCGTCTGAGCAGCGCGAAGAATCTCAACCGCGGGCCATGAACAGGGACAACCGGCCTTCTCCAATTACGTTGCCGAAATCTCCCGATTCAACGGAAGACGAATCTCTAAGCTCTTCTAATCCAACGACTTACATCTACGCCAAATATTCGCTCCCCCGGGGGAGATCCGTGTCACGGAATAGCCTCGGGCTCAGTGGGCTTCAAACTCCACATATCGAGTGGAATGAGCCGCTTTTCGAAAGTTCTTCACCTCCAAGTACTTCTGGGAAGGAAACCTTCGAGCAAGCACCCTTGTCGCCTCTCGCGACCTACACACATCCTCCTTCCTCACCATCCCCGCTAAAACCTGAAACGCCCTTGAAAACAGCGACACCACCAGAACCCGAACTCCCATCTAAACCCTTGCGTGCGCCTAAAAATAGGTCCCCGCCACGTAAGAGCTCGGGCAAACTTGTCAAGCGAACTGACTGGACTCCTCCGAAGCGACATAAATCCTTTGACCACGTAGCTCGAGAGACTGTGCCCCCGGCCCCGTCCAACTCACATAGCAAGCTTCCTACCAGCACACCCAAATCTGACGAGCAGGGTGAAGCTAAATCCACATCCACAGAGTCCAACACCACACTCCGACCTGATACAAGCCGTGATGGAGTTCCTCCGCCAACAACCGCTCTCTCCGCTGAAGACCATGTCGTAAAGGGTATCCAGTGCCACGAAAACGGCTCCCTGAACGAATCCACCTACCACCTCCGCATCGCAGCGATGCAAAACCACCCAACAGGAATGCTCTTATATGCCCTTGCCTGCCGCCACGGCTGGGGTATGCGTCCCAACCCGCGAGAAGGCGTACAGTGGCTCCGCAAAGCCGTCGACTGCGCTGCGCTGGAACGCTCGAACTCAGGGGCTGAGCCTTGCGGGAGAAATATTGAGGAGAAGACTCGCCGGGCGCAGTTCGCGCTTAGCATTTATGAGCTTGGTGTTAGCCATTTGAATGGGTGGGGGATTGAGCAGGATAAGCCGCTTGCGTTGCGGTGTTTTGAGATTGCGGGACGGTGGGGTGATGTGGATGCGCTTGCTGAGGCGGGGTTTTGTTATGTTGAGGGGGTGGGGTGTAAGAAGGATTTGAAGAAGGCGGCGAAGTATTATCGGATGGCGGAGAGTAAGGGGATGAGCATGGTCGGGAATAGTTGGTATGTTTTCTATTTTGGATATATGTATCTCTATATATCCAGGTTTTGTTTAGAGCCGTCACTCACTAATTCTCTCCCCGCTGTCAAACAGGATATACAAACCCAAGTACATGTCGGACGATGACAGCCTGCCACCTGCACCAAGCCTCTACTCTGCGACGGGCCAGGAGAAAAAGTCCCACAACAAATCGCGCACCCGGAGCATTTTCGGGCATAAGACATCCAGTGCTGCACGTAGCGTGCATAATGACTCTTGAATTTGAAGATACCCTCTAATATCTGATCAGATATACATGTAATATTTCCACCGCTTACTTTGTTTCTTTTTTGTCATTCTCTAATTTTTTTTTCTTTTTTTTTTTTTTTTTTGGTCGATATTGCTTTCCACGAACTCCCTCCCTTTTAATATTTTATATCCCCCTGAAGTATTTACTTTGCGGTTGGTCACTTTATACATTCTCATATTTGCATGTTTCTCTGTCTATTTCACTC